TAGGGAACAGGAGATACAGTTAGGTTCACAGTGTTTCAGTGTCATTTCTTATGCTCCTGGGTCTTAAAACTCAACTGGAAAAGACAAAAGCAAGAATTCATGCTGAAATGCTGTAGCAAAACTAATCCATAGACATATCAAAATAAATGAGATTAGAAGAGAGTGAACAGGCAGCTTGTCTTGCAGTTAGACTTCTCTGTTTTGGTTGAAATGATGCAAGGAATAGGAAGAGCCATCTGCTTTAGATTCATGTAATACTCTTCAGCTCTGTTGTCTGTGTTGTTAATTTTGTACCATGCTTCATAATAAGTTGGTACGGTTGGCCAAGGTTGAGTTCTGATTATATCAGCAATTGCTTTATTCACAGCTCAGATACCTATGTCTGTGTAGTTGTCAGTAAATCTCAGCTTGCTGAGTCCTTTCTGAGGATGGAAACATTCATGGGCATCAGCAAAAGTGATTGTGTGCTTCCACTGACATGTGGAATAGGTGACTATTCTAAAACTAGCCATTAATGACTTTTAAATCAAAATCGCATTAAAAAGTGCAATTAGACTTTTTTTTGGATGAATGAGAGAAAAAAGAATCTTAACACTTGCAAAGCACAGTGTTGGTATCTCCAGAAGTCCTAATGATGTGGTGCTGTGGGCTGTGGTGGTATAAATCCCTTGAGAGTGCCCTGCCAATAAACTACAACCCAGTGGTGAACTGTCTGTTCCTAGAAGTGAGAGTAGTTTAGCCTCTTGTGCAGGAGAAAAGTTAAACAACTTCAATGGGACCTAAAAGACAGCTCAGTGAATCAGATGCTCACAGATGGCTTGCCTCATGTGCCTTCCAGACTTCTTCTCCTTCATTCAAATAAGTCGATTCAGAAATATCCATGTACTGCTCTGCCATAAAAGCAGCTTTCCACAAGGAATTACCACACAAATATCCATGCATAACAGAGAGTTTTCAAAATACGGAGCAAAAGTTGGTGCATGGGTATTCATGCAAAAATGAAAAGAGGCTGTGCTTGATGTATGACTGGACTGCCACAAGCACATGAACACTTAAAGAACTAAACTGGCCTCCCTGAACTGATGGAAGGTTGAACTCCTGGTTTAAAGTTCTTTCCCAGCCCCCTTCAAAAGGGAGCAGGGCTGGGAGTGCCTCAGGAGGGCAGTTAAGCAACTTGGGGATTATTGCATGAACTGAGGGACTGTGAGTCTTCACAGTTACAGTTCAGATGAAAGATGTACAAATAAGAACCAGTGCAGGGAAAGGGGAAGTTTTTAACATTTTAGCATATTTTGGGCAGTCCTGATTATCTGGAATGAAGCTTGTGCCTGATCCAGCACCTCCTTCTTTTTTACTACCTTGTTTACACTCTCTTGCTGGGACTATAAAAATTTTCAGTCCTGTTATCCATTTAACTGCTGTATCCCTAAGCCATCACAAAACCATGATGACTTAAACTCCTCTTCAGTTGTTTCCAAATCCTATTTATGAGTTATGAGAGTTAGTTTTAGACTAAAAAGACTGAATTTGACAACTAGCATTAGCATTTGTCAATTTGGTAACGTGACCTGCATGCGTGGAGGTGTAACTTTTCTGAAATACCCTATATGAAGGTCTGTACAATTACAATAGAATTGTTATAAATGGAAGGAAAGATATATGTTCACGTTTGAAATAATTATTTTAGAAAAGACACAAGTGGAAGAGAACTGAGGTAAGGTTCTCCAGGCACAAGTTCTGCTATTACTTGTGTGAGAGTTTGACTTCACGACCTAATCATTCTTTTAACAACTATTACAAGTGTACAGAGAAAACTTCAGAATAATATGCAGGTCTAGAACATGGTTTAAAAAGGTTAAAAGCTATTTGAATTATTTAACTGTGCATGTTATGTAAGTCCCCATAGTTCAGAGACCCCAATCATAGCTAGCTCGTTGTTTTTGCTGGTCATGGGGAGGATGCTGGGGTTATTAAAACAGATGGATAACACAGGTACTGACAGAAACATAAGCACTTGTCTAGAGAAACGTGTGGTGAGTCTCCGTGTCTGTGCAACCCAGTACTTCAGGAAGAGAGACCTGGCAAGAGGCGTGTTGCCCAGCACTAAAAGTTTGGCTCATCTCAGGTTGAAACAGGATAGTGTGATAATCTCCTGTCAATGGGAAGTGGGAACGCCCTAATTTCCAGCAGTACCCTTTTCTGACTTGTGGCTCCTGAGATGCCAGCTCCAGATAATGAAGGAAACTGCAGTTGGTCGAGGCTGTCCAGAGACTGTACAGTGAACCACGCAGTGCCCTGACAGGTCCTGGCAGAGGTGATCATTAGGCAAAGGGAGAGGCATGATGAGTGTGATTTGTTGCATGCTTTTGCAATTCATAGTATCCTTTTACAGCTTTGGGCAGGTTTACAGGTAATGTCATGAGAATGTAGTGACCATAGATGGTTTCATGATTTGTGAGGTTGTACATCCCATGAAATACACAATGCCTGGTGAAAATGACTTTTCTAACATGGAGCCTTGAGTTAACAAAAGTGCAATAGATTTTCTGGAGTACCAGTGTATTCGTTTAGGAAACAGATGTGGCACTTACTATACCCATCTCCCAACCCAGCCATTTGTTATCGCTCCTCTGCCAAAGGTTACTTGAAAAAGAATGATGAGAGCACTCCTTAGTCATAAACAGCAGCTGGTCAGGCTGTAAAATCCCGAAGCCCCTGCAGCTGTTTGCTAAGTGGATGCATGTCTGAGCTTCTAGGCACCACAGACTTTCAGGTACTTCTGAGTATCTCACCCAGAGCCCATAGGTAACCTTTATTATTAATTCCTATTCTTGTGTCTCTACAGCATATAGTGATTTGGGGTATTACATTATTAATAAGCTGCACCATGTGGATGAATCAGTGGGAAGTAAAACTCGGAGAGCCTTCCTTTACCTTGCTGCCTTCCCTTTTATGGATGCCATGGTGAGTGCCTGATTCAGGACTGAATTTTAATATTGATGTTGACTTTAGTTCACAAAGGCTGTAACCTGATGGGAAACTGGAAGCGTGCGGAAGGAAGATGTGTCTTTTGCTAGCAGTAGCTGTGGATATGCCTGGACACATCATCTCCTGCTACCTGGAAAAAGCATCTGGGTGGACTTTGAACATCCAGAGATCATGACAAATGTAAAAAACTCGGCTGCCTTGTTAGAGCTACTGCATGTGCATGCTGGAAAGCACTGATCATCATGTAACGAGAGGCACTGGTTGTCTGTGTGTGTCCTCTCATTCCAGTCTGTAGTGAAAGAGTTGGATTTGCCATAAATTGCCACATCACTTACAGAGTTCACAAGGAATAAGCTCAGTATTTTCTCAAAGAAAATTTGTTTAAAGGATATTTCTTATAATCTATTTTTGCAAGCACAGCTAAGTCAAATGTATCTCAAATGCATGAGGTAAGCTGCTGCTCCTGAGGTCTCCAGGCTTACTGTTTGTAGGCTGCACAACATAAAATATGGCAGCTCTCTTTAATGCCTCTGCTTCTGTGTAAAAGTGGTAAAGTATAACCTTCTTATGGCATGCCTGACCACTTTCTCTACCGCTTTGCTTGAAACAGTAGCTGACAATAAAAAGAAGTTGGATCATTATGTTTTCTTCTCCAGAGAGGACTCAGTATAACTCAGTGGGCTGATGAATGTTACAGTTCAGAGATGCATCCAGGTGGTGAATGAGAATATACATTTTTTACCTTAGATTATTTAGTATGGTAATTTGTCCTGTGCATCAGATTTATGAAGAAGGAGCAGTTTCTTATTAGATCTGCTCAAAAATTTCTATACAGTCTGAAAAACTATTCCCATTTTCCCTGTCAGCTGTGGCAATGAGGAACTGAACACAGCAGTGCGTTCTCTGTGTTACTGGCTTAACAGGTTCATACCAGGTACTGCTGGTGGAAAAGAGCTTTATAAGTTGTTTGTGTGCAATGTGACAACCAGGAAACAGCATTCTGGGACCTGTAATCATTCACAAATACCATAATCACTTCTCAAACTCTTCTCTGCCTTTTTTCAGGCATGGACCCATGCTGGGATTCTGCTGAAACACAAGTACAGTTTCCTAGTGGGATGTGCCTCCATCTCAGATGTCATAGCTCAGGTAACGACTCCTTTTAGCAGTCACTGTTTCGCTTGTGTTACGGACTGGATGCTTTCCTAAGCAGGGACTCTCATGTGCAGAGACTGCCTTCTTCCTCTACCATGAACAACAGACCAGAGGAAGTAATCTTGTGAGCTGTTCTCTTGCTGTTTCCTCATTGTGTGGAGGCTGTTTGCTGACACTTGGGGTTTAGTCTCACTGGACTGTATCAGTCCCAGACCAATGTCAGGAGGAGGGAACCAGAGTTGTTTGGGTTAGGGCCATGTCTTCCACAACCTCCACAACCCTGTTTCAGAATGGCTGAGAAACAAGTGTACATCTGGGGAAAAGAAAGATCAGGCAGGGAGACTGATGGCTGCAACCAGTCCTGAGGCTGATGGAGTGCTTTGAAAGAGACCTTTCTCACCTCAGTGCCTTCTCCTCCCCCACACTTCACACAGTTGCCCTGAAATCTTGAGTGGGGCTTGTAGGTGGGGAAGTGAAGGCTTGATTCTCCAGTTCACCTGTCAGTTTTGCACATGCTGTCTAATCCAGTGAGATGCAGTTTTGTAAGCCATCTCCTGAGTGCCAGTACAGCTCTGCTCTTGTTACTGGTCCAAAAGGTGAAGGGTCAGAATTGCGGCAGAAGGTGATAGCCCCTAGGTGGTGCAGAGACAACCAAATGTTGTTTGAGCTTTCATCTGTGAAGGAGGTGTTAACTATCCTGTTGCTTTGTACTAGACACACTTAAAAAACAATATTCGTGCACATTGCTGATTGCCAGTGTTGTAGCATTTGAGAACCAATATACAGTCCTCTTTTAAAAGCATATATAAAAATATTGCAAATTAGAGAGTCCCAGCACCTGTGAAATAGATGCTGTACTGTCGCATTACCAGCTGAATGGTGTCATGACTGAATAAGAAAGGGGACAATAACAGTAAAACATCAAAGCAAATAAGAAGTCAGCAGCACTTGGTTCAGTTTTCCTTAGCATTTTCCTCCCACTAAATATGAGCAAACCATAAACCTGGTTGAACCATTCAGTCAGCTGCTATTCTATGTTGGGCAGGTCAGCCCCTCTACCGTACTGCTGTAAATCCCTGAAGATAATGCAAATTACCTTAAATTGCCTTAACCCTCAGGATCTGCTTTTGTTCTGGTGTGACCTCCAAAGTTTGCTGACCCTAGATGCATGTCAGGTCATATACAGCTAAATACAGAAACAATTTCTTATTTTGGCTATGGTAGACATGCCCTTTCCACAACGGGCAGTGAGTGGGGTGCCAAGGTTGTTAAGAATAAGACACCTGTCATCTTCTCTCAACAAAATATTGCACAGAGCAAGAGCAAATCTGGAAGACAAAAAGTTGTGACTCCATACCTCAGAACTCTCTACCCATACATCTGCTCCCTGTGCAAGTAATAGGAATGGAGGCAGCAGCTAATTCTCCTTGAGTAGCTTCATTTTCATACTTTTTGTGACTCGCTTTGCTTCTGTTTACTGAAAAACAGTTCTTTTGTAGGGTTCAAAAGAGCAGTTTTGCAAACCCTCATAAACAGCGTGGCCTGCCTAATAAACATTTACCCAGTGCAATTTTTTCTTAAATATTTCTTGCACTCTAGCAATGAAGGAGAGAACCTACCTCTGAACAGTGTGGTTTGTATTTGTTGTAACTCACTTGACTGCCAGTGTGTCCCGGCAGGGTTGCCTTTCATTCTGCTGTTCACAGCACCAAACACAGTTGGCTTTCCAGTTATGCCCCCCATCCAGAGACATTTGGAATTTAACAGGCACGCCATCAGCTCTGTACTTAATAAAAATAATTATATATTAATCAATTCCTTTGCATTTTCTAAATTGGGCATTTAATCCTATGAGACTGAATTATGAGCTGTTCATTAGCCAAAAAGTTTCCATTTCATTTACATTAATGTGTCACTCTGCTGAAGAGAATTATGAAATACTGAGATTTCACTCAAAAAAGAAGAAAATTAGGATGACATAAGACTTCCTGCTTCTAAATGCTGAAGTGAATTCTTTAAAATATCTGGCTTTTTAATTACCACTGTCCCCCATCCCCACCCCCCCAAAAAAGTAGTGCTTAGAAGCTGACCCCAGAAGCATGTCCCTCAGTGTGTATCAGAATAGCACATTCTCCTGGGCAGGGTGACACTCGGCCACATGCTTGCTGCCAGACCTTGCCAGACTTTAGTGATAACCTACTCCTATTTATGGCTCCTAGTCCAACACCTGCCCATACCTTCAAGTGCTGTTTCATAGAGCTTCTGTATGATGTTAACTCTTGCTCTTCTCAATTGTATGACCAAATGCAGGGCATTTGGTCCTGCCTAAAGTTTCAAATGCCACAAGCTCAAAGTCAGGTAGTTATGCATGGCTGTTGGTTCAGATGGACTAGATTGGACTCAGACAGGAGATTTATTTGCCCTAAAGAAACACACAGAAAAATTACTAATAATTTATTTGTTTACCCTGCAGGTTGTTTTTGTAGCCATTTTGCTTCACAGTCACTTGGAGTGCAGGGAGCCTCTGTTGATCCCAATCTTGTCCTTATACATGGGAGCACTTGTCCGCTGTACCACATTATGCCTCGGATACTACAGGAACATACATGATGCCATTCCTGACAGAAGTGGGCCTGAAATGGGGGTATGTCTTCATACTTTGTGCTTTGTCAAATTCACTAATTTTAAATTTGTTTTTTTTGTTACAATGCTGTATTAAAATACTGTGCATGAAAGGTATCTTCTCTCTGTCCTGGAGGAAAAAAACATTTTCAGTTAAAGAGGCACAGTAGAAACTATTCCAGCAACAGTGCACATGAGGTGGCACTTCCCATGGTACAGGTGTGCTGCCTACTAATCACCTCTTTATTGAGCTCTGTACTGAGCTGTAAGACAGCACAGCATGAATTAAGTGGACACCTTATTTGACAGGAAGGAGGTCTTAAAATTCCTGTTTTTCCTCAAATGTCATACTGCTTTTCATATATCTTTGTCTGGTAGCCAGAACTAATTATGCAGATAATTTGCATTATTGAGATCCATGACACAGCTTCTTTTAAATCAGCATTACTAACATAAGTGAAAATATTTTAGTCTCCTCATATTGAAGACTATTGAAATGAATGTACCAAACTGACAATGGGTGGGAAAAGCAAAAATCCTTTCTCTGTGCTTTTGGTTCAGTTCTGCATTATTTTTTCCAAACTCACTTCTTATTTTATTCTTTTTTTCCTGTGTGTTACAGGGAGAGGCTACAATAAGGAAGATGCTGAGTTTCTGGTGGCCTTTGGCGTTAATTTTGGCAACTCAGCGAATAAGTAGGCCCATTGTCAACCTTTTTGTCTCCCGGGACCTAGGTGGCAGTTCTGCAGCCACGGAGGTAAGAAAGTCAGTGCCCTTCATTACTGCAAATGATACCTCTGTGCTTTTCTTGTCAGGTGTGCTGACAGGAAAAAGTTGTCTTAAGTACATTTCTGTTTAGTGCTCTTTTTATCCTTGAAAAGAAGACTCCTTGGACTCTTACCATTAGAGTTTCTGCCAGGCCTAGTGGGACCTCACCATCAACAAGTCCAGTAGAATTTTTCCACTGAACAGGTCCTGCATCCCAGGTTTTCATACTCTACATATAGGTCCATGTGCTCTGGAATATTCAGATCCCAGAGACTTTAGGACAGTCATCAGTAGTCCCATGCTCCACTGTTTCCTCTCGTGTATATTTACAGCTGTGCAAGCTGATGTGAAACTACTGTTAGCAGTCAGCGCGTCACACAGGATAGGGTAGAGACCTAAGGAAGCACATAAAATATGTGCTGGAATATGAAATACACCCTGTTTCTCTCGAGGAATTTCAGATTACTCCAATAGTCTCCTACAGCTGATGGGAGCCGGACTTCTGTTTGCACTGCAGAGCCCTCACCAATGCTCACCACAAGCTGACCTATTCTTTTAAGGAGTCTGAAGGACCTTTGCTGCCAGTTTCAATGTGAGGATGTATAGATCTGCATAGTCATTAGAAAATCTCTCATGTATTTTTGTGTAGGAAGAACAAAGCTGTAAGTTACTAAATGGAAAGGAAAATTCAAGCAGCCGATGCCTAGCAAATGTTCTTGCAGGACTGCTTGTCATATGTGATACTGTGTATTTCACTGGCTCAGGAGTTGCCGGTGACTGCAAATAAACAGCTGTAGAGAAAGAACTTAGGAAGTGTAACACTTTTACATGTGTAAATCAGGGATCAGTCTGTGCATTAATAGCAGTCTCGGTGCAAGGGGAGCCATAGCATGCTAGCAGAGATCAGTTTTGTAGGAGTTATATAGATCTCCTGTTCAATAATATCAGCAGCTTTCAGTGTGGACAGGACGTCCCTGTGAAGGGCTAGGGTGTAGCATGTTCACAAGGACAGCAAGTCCACTGGCACTGGTGAACTCCCACTGTTTCTTTTTGGACTGCAGTGATGGTGATGGGGGTAGCTTTTTTGATGTTGGCTTTGATGGGGGATTTTTTTCACCTGTCAAATACTTCTGTTCTAGACATTTAGGAAAGCTTTCATGCATGTGTTTTGGGATCCTACCAATTGGGGAAAATACTGGAAGAAAAATCACTGCTAAAACTTCAGTAATTCAATCCAAGTGGATAGCAAACAAAATGGAGTAGTGAAATATTGTTTTCTGTAAACAGTTACTGTGTCTTTGCAATCATTTTGGACTTCACCATGAAAATAAGCAAAATATCTTTTATATTCCTTATTTGATTTAACCTAGTTAGTTTTCATGTAGATGTCAATTCTGCTGAAAATACAATAATGAGGAAGAAAATAGCAATTAAAAAAGAGTACTGTCTTAAAATTACAATTTGTTTTCTTTGAACCAATGACTTTTTCAATTTTTATTAAACATTGCCCCAGAGCAGTCAGTTTGGTGTCCAAAGTCAGTCAGCCACTGAAGCCTACTGTTTTGTAGTCGATCTGTCTTACTTAAAACTGCTTTACTTACAAATAACAAAATAAACTGTATATAGATTAAGATTATGAAATATGATACAAAACTGCTGTTAGCTGTAAGGTATTCTGCTACTCAAGTGTCTGTAGGTAAAATAATTCTGGAACAATGTGGGAGGGAGGTATTTGGCTGGATGAGGGGCACACAGCAGCTCCAGTTAACAGTTATCCCAAAGCTCCAGTACAACTATCTCAGTCATCTGCCTGATACCTCATTGCATCAGTGTGGTATGTTGGTGGGAAATGGCACCCTGCATTACCTGTCCTGTTCAAAGATTTGAAGTTCGCCTTTCTTTGTGTCTCTTCATAGGCAGTGGCGATTCTGACAGCTACGTACCCTGTGGGACACATGCCGTACGGCTGGCTGACAGAGATCAGAGCAGTGTACCCTGCTTTTGACAAGGTGAGTGCTCACGTTAGGGGTGTAGTAAATACCTTTTGTGGGGTTTCACATCCGCGGGCCTCCTCTTTCTCTCTGTTACAACATTTTAATTTAGGGATGGCTTCAAAGGAATTTCTGCCGAACAAATATGAAGACAGCTAGTACATGGCTCATAACAGATTCTTTAAAAAGTAAACCAACCAAAGATTAAATAGGGCTGTATTAATGGCTGTCTATTGTTCTGTTATCTTTACTTTTGCTTTTGATACCTTATCCCACTGATAAGATTTTCTTAAAATCCTAGTTGAAATGAATCGGGTATTGATGGCTTCAGGCTGTTGTTTGATTTATGATTTTAACCTTAGCTCTGTCTTACACGGTATTAGGCTACCTTTTGAATAGATAGGTGCTGTATTTTTAAGGATTAAAACATGTCCTCGCTTACTAACTAACTGTGATGTAGCTACTTAACTAATGAAGTGATTTCTCACAGTGTCCAGCAGTGAGTGAGCAAGGTCACATCTCTTCTTCAGATTCTGCAGTATCTCTAAAATGGGTTTGGTTTCATTTGCTTATGTTAATATTTAGCAAAGGCTGTTTTATAGACTGACAGTAACACAGATAACATATATTATTTTAGTAGTACTGACTTAGCTGACCAAGACTATGAAGATTTTTGTTGGCAAAACATGTAATTACGTTAGAATGCAAGGACTGCTCCCGGAACTGAGTGCAGAGTAAATATATAACCAAAATTAATTTTGTTTAGGCTCCTTTTTGCTCTGTTTTAGAACTGGTACTCACTAGCCCATCTGTTGTGCGAAGAACAGTCATGTCCTACGACACTCTAATTCAAATATCAGATCCCCTCTGTCCCTTTATTTACCAATTAGTAACAGAACTTTCTGGTTCCAAATATTGATGAAAAATTCGCGTGTTTGCTCGGGGATGTACTTAACTGAAGGAAGCAGCATTTGGTATGAACCACCATACTTCCAAGGAGAAGTTAAAAACAAAACAAAGAAAAGGCAAATCTGTCAGAACTTCCTAACCTGCCTAAGTTGACCTGTCAGATAAAATACATTATTATTTCTCAGAGGTCATGTTGCTGAGAAGGAACTGCAGGTGCAAAACCGATAAAATGCGACATAAAAGTTGTTTGGAATAGGAACCACAGGGGCTACTGCCCTTATCTGTTATGAGCTATAATCAAATGCACTATTGCCAAGCAATTAAGACTCCTAAATCCAGGTCTCATTTAGCTGGTGAAAGATTTGCTGACAACTTCAGTGGTGGCAGGATTAGATCATGATTTGTCTGTTTATTTATTTCAGTTAAAAAAATTCTTACAGATCTCTTGTGTAACAAATGTGAGGAAGAAAAAGCTAGGGTAACGCACAGACAGGTACTATTTATCTAATTGCCAAAAAAGTATATAATAGAGATTTTAGTTGCATGTTTGAGAAGCAGTTTGGCATAAAATGTGCTAAGTGAGATAGCAGCAATATGAAGTGTATCTCATCCTGGCAACCATGTGTGCAAATGTCTCCCCTGTTTCCTTCAGACAATAAATACAAAATCCACAGTGGTTTTTTTTAGATTGCTGTGAGAATTGCTTTACCCTTGGTCACACGTCATTCACGTGTCATAATGCCTTTCAGAAGCTTTGTTTCCTTAAGCTAAGGCTTTCTCAGAAGAGTCCAGACAGAACCACTTTTAATTTCCAGATTTTGTAAAGCCTCTGTTGTGATTTTCAGATGCTGAAACAGTTCCCATGCATGTAAACTCCTTTTTCTTTTGTCAGTTACTCAGAAAGCTGGCGATGCTCATGGCCATCAGAGGCACGCTGCATCGCCTTAACTGGCTGATGGCATTTGAGACCCAGAAAGTATGTCCCATGTCCAGAGCAACCTCATGGCCTAGCAGTTAGGCTCAAGTTAAGGGTTACTGCTGATTTGCTGAAAGAAAACAGGCATACCCTAGTTCTGTCCTCTGCTGTCTTATACGGTGATAATGCCATTATTCTTAATGGACTGTGCTATCTGATTCAGAGCAACAACACTGACGGTGAGACTTGTGATTTATCTGATTAATGGATAGGAATGGGTACTCTTTTTGCTCCATAATCTGCATAGTGTTTTGATCCAAGAACTAAACAGTGTGCAAGAGATAGGAATAAAAGAGTACATGGTCAAGAGTTGGAGCAAAGGGTGGAGTAGAGGAAAGGCAGTTAGCAGCAGTGAGGTAGGAATGAACAAGTGGCCTTTATCTTCACAGTTTTTTTGACTGGATTTGGGTGTGCTTTCCTTCCTCTCTGTTATTTTAGCCTTGTTAGAAAGTTGAGCCTTGCAGCAGATTTTGTTAAAACACTGGTGAGCAATGTAAGCAAGGTCTGTCCTCACATATGTAAAAAGTAACAGGAACAAAGTATTTCTTCAGAAACACAAGAAATAAGAATAGACGCGTGAAAAAAATGTTTACAGAGAGTTTTCATAACCTGTTCTCAAAAAGGACAGGCTTGGGAATAACTTCATGCTTTAGGGTCTAGGTTGCCTACATGCATCTTCATGCACCCAAACTTATCAAAGTATCAAGCAGGTATGTAGGCAGGAGCATGGAGCTGTCTAGGTGCCATCCCTGCACTGATCACCACAGAAGGCTTTAAATGCAAAATTCCATCAACTACTTGAATGTATGTTAAATGGTGTACCCTTCTTAGAGCTCACATTGGGTTTGTCCACTCTGAGATGTGTTTGCTTAAGTTCCTACTTCTCTTATGAGTAACTTCAGTGAAGGAGTGTGACCATGTGTCAGATACTGATGTTCTACCTGAGCTACATAAAGGATGAATAAATGTTGTACTACATGTCACGGTACAGGTGTTATCAGTGTGGGCACATACTCGTGTATCTGAGACAGCATCAGGGTAAATGCAATAGATGACCCAACAGCCTATTGCTACAGGGCTCTTAATGGTGCCCTGCTTTTGATATCCCATCCTCTCCTTTCACAGACCATTTAGTTTGGTTTTATGTGTTCCCCAAGAGCAACTTTAAATGTTCAGCTTCATTTGCTATATTAGACATTTGGAAGAGTGCTTCTGTTGTTGTTTTAAATAAAACTTTGCTGCCATGTGAGTTCAGAACCCATGTTCAAGGTGGAACATCTAATAGTCCTAATTATGTTCTCTTCATTAAACTGCATTAATGGAGCCAGCTGTTCCAGAAGCTTTGTTTATATTACCTGCTTGTCTAATTGAATCAGTAAGAGTGCTTGCATTGGTGTATGAATTTGGTACCACTATGCGGTAAAAAGGAATGAAAGCCTATTTTTCCTGTGATAACATGCTACAGACTTCAAGGTAAAAAAAATGAACATGTGGCATTTTCTGAGAAAGAGCTACCACCCTTTTTTGAAGCTGAACTTGTTAAAGATTTGGTTTATTATTCCTTAGAAAAGTAGGGAGATTAGTCAGCCCTCAGTGACCATCAGAGCAGTTGCTGTCAGTTTAAGCAGAAAATATTTTGTGGTGATACAAAGCACTCAGAAAGCTCTAGGTTAAAAAGCAAACAAGCAAAGGCAGACATGCACAGGCACAGACAGGTCCAATACATGACCCTGGTGCCATCAGCTTCCCACTAGTCTGGAGCCAAGCTAATGCTCATTATCTCTTTCTCTCACCCTAGAATAACCCCAGCAATAAATTGGTGAACACCAACAGCACCGTCACAGCGACGCATATCAAGAAGTTCACTTTTGTTTGCATGGCATTGTCCTTAACGGTAAGAAACCATTGTTCAACTCTCTGGCTTTCATCTAAACCAGAAAATTATCATCTCCTCTGCCTAATGCTAAAAGCTCTAGCAGTTCAAGAAAGGTGAGTTGTCTTTTCTCATGAAGCCTTGGTTTTATCTGGAGGAAGGAATGTAATCATAGTACTAGAGTACTAAGAAAATCAGCTATCATTAACTCAGGCTAGGTATCTTAAACGTTAGAGCTGTTTTATTGAATTCTCATTACTTTTCATTTCAAGTCAGTCTCCACATGCAAGGAGATCTGCTTTTCTTTTTTTCTCTTTTTTTTTTTCCAATATACACAAATTCTGGTAACCAGCATGTCAGGAAAATGAAAAACTGCATTTGTCTCATGTGCAGTGGGATGGCAGCCTCTTCTTGGGCACCTGTCATCTACTGCGAACGGTGGGAAAGGCAGCATGTGTTGAAACTGCAGTAGCTTACATGGCTGTGGTCTTCCATGCTGGGGATACTTCTGTACACATTGGTTTTGTTTACTCTCAAAATGAAATAAAAAGGGCAATCTCAGAGCTGGTGCTGACACTGACAAAAGGATCAGTCTTGTCTGCACTGGAAAGCATTGCAAGGGGCTGACATTCAGGGAGAAATTCTGCTAAGCCTGCAAAATTACCAGCTTGCACACATATGTACAGGGCATCTTCCCCAAGGAAACTGTTTCTGCATATCCTTTTAGCAACAAACAGGCAGTTGTGGAAGAAAACTCATGCAAGTGGTGGGGATCATAGCAAATAATGGAGCAGATGACTGGTGTAAATGTAACTTCTGTTTCTACATAGGGTGGTTTTGCATTAGTGTTTGGAGCTGGTCAAACCACCCTCTTCCCACCTGGGGTGGACTTGCACTAGCAGCCATACCTCTGTTTGTGACAGTCATTAGCAGATCTGTGATCCATGCACAGTGTCCTGAGAAGTCCTGTGTTGGCTCTTGTCAGGTCACTGCCAGGCACCAGGATCACCATGGTCAGTGATGGCAGGGCCTGGCAGCCAGGGCCCGTCCCATCCCCAGCCAGGAGCAGGGCAGCTGGGGAGCACCGGGACAGCCCCAACCCCAAGCTCTGGGCACCTCCTTGGGGACAGGCCAACACCAGGCCAGGACATGGGCCTGCAGGTGGGCCTGGCTGCACAGGGCCCATGGCCAGGCAGGACAGGGCTGTGAGGAGCTGGAGACCAGCCCTGATGCAGTATCACTGGGACAGGGACTAATGGCTTCAGGGGGCTACAATGGGGTCCTTGGCTATCAGCAGGGTAGGGGGACTGGGCAGGGATGGGCAGGGCTGGGAGTGCGCTCAGCGTTATGACAGCTTCTCCCCTCAGCACCTGCGCTAGCAGGACAAAAGCCAAGAAGAACCTAGAAAATAAGTTTCTCACAGAAAAAGTCCTTCCTCATACTACAAAAGTAGGTGGCAAACACTGCAATTGTTTTAGGATACAGTGCTCAGAGTCCTAAAATTGAATCTGTTTGTACCCTAGACAGGTTTTCTCTTTCTCCCCAGTCTTGTGTACATTGCATGGGGTAGCTAGCTGCTTTGTAACTCTCTTCTCCCCACATTCACAAATTTGCTGTTGAGTGACGGAAGGCTGACATAACTTCTCTTTCCCCTTCATTTTAGTGTAGAGCCTTTTTGACTGAGTTGCACATGGTGTACACATGAAGGGAAACTAATTTGTATCAAAGGAAACCTTACAGTACACAGACCTGAGGTATTTGTAACCATACCCACCCCTTGTCACAACCTGAGAAAGTGAGATATGGTACTCTCTGTCTTATTTGACATTTGAAAATGGAGTGACTCAATCTGTCCATACCTGAATTAGGAGATTTCTTCTGCTCTTCATTTCCTATACTTTTTCCCTAAATAGCTACAACTGGCCACCATCAAAGACAGGACTGTGTGAGCCAATGTGGCATCTCTTCTGTCTATTAATTTCCTAGTCTTAAGCTTGAATTCTCTTTTCATCTGGCTTAGAGACCAGTAGCTCTGGCTCTTACTTATATTTCCTACAGCATGTAACAGAGACAGACATATGCCTCCACTGAATTTGCCATTGTATGGAGACTTTAAATGGCCCTCATGTTATCTACCATCACACACCTTGAGGTTTTCTCCTGTGTGCTGTGCCAGGCCAAGGTTATGTCCTCTACAGCTGGAGCCTGCCTTGAAGTCTGTGAGTGTTGCTAGAGACCTATGAAGGGGAAAGTTTTCCTCTTTGTAAGTTGTTCTAAGAATACTATTCCAGTCTCAAAGCTTTCTCTGACTTGACTGTTTTCTTAACCCTTCTGGGCATTTATCAGGTTGCTCGAGTTCTGATAGATCATGAGCTTCTCATATTACCATCACCATCCTCTGCAGAGTAATTTTTAGTTACCGCAATAGGCTTTTGTTTTGTAATGTTACAGGATTCTTTTTTTTTGCAAAAGTTCTCCATGTTACTTTCAAGGGCGGTTCTTTCATAAGCTCATCATGAGAGATTTATCTGCACTGAAATTCCAGAAAGACTGTTGAGGTCCATAGCTTTTCCTGTCCTGTTTCTATTTTTGTCTACCAGTGATAGATTCTTAGGATTGCTTGTCAACAGTCAGAGTGGAAAAATAGACACAGGAGCTCTACAGACTCAGTTTGGTTCAAGGGCCTGAGCCTGCAAATGCTTCAGCACACAAGCTCAGTAGACATTGGTATGACTCAAGTTATCATGTGCCACAGGTTCTAAGGAACTTCACTTCAAATTTGCCTCTTGTTTCACCCAGGTCAGATAGCCACTGTAGCTTAGCTCCCATGGTCATTGGTGATTGCTGTGTTTTTCTGGAGGGGCTCTACTGCAGTGAATGGCAGTCAGACTATTGGCATCACCGTTGGTAATATCTTGTTCTTTGGGATCAGAAAGTGGGAAACAGGCTTCTAGGCTGATAAAGAGATAAAACAAGTCAAATACTTAGACATGTCATGTGAATCCATTCTTCAGTGGATGATCTGTAGAAGGATTCCAGAAGATTAAAAGATAAAGGACTGGAAAAAATATAAGTAAAACGTTCAGTATGAACAGCAACCATGCAGGAAAGTACCCTCCTGATGCAAAAACCTCCCAGTCATTGAAAACGTACTATTTCATAGAGTTAGGAGAAAAAAGTCAAAACCTCCTTCAACAAACAGTCATGCCTGCACAGGAAGTGCTGTAAACCTACCATTGTAGCAGAAGCACTTTGTCACCCTTGTTAATAGTGGCAATATTTGGGCCAGAGTAGAAAAAAATGCGTAGTCCTGTTAGGAAACATAACTTTGTTTTTTTTTAAATCTAAAAGGGATCTGAAAAGCTGCACTTCATCCTTCCCAGGCTGACTGAGCAGCATGCAAATGTGTTCTGCTGATGATGATCGAAAGCACTGTCTCATGGCTTTGAAGCATCAGACTGGTATTAAAGCTGCTTCTTCAAAAGATAGGATTTAGTTGTATTCCTTGGTGAAAAAATTTTAGACAAGCTGCAAGGCTGTAAATAGAAGCCGTTAAACTCCCAATATGTAAGAGAGCTGATGTGACTAGTTACACTGATGTGGTTTTGGTTGTAAGCAAGCAGTGACTCCTTACAACATCCCTATTTTGTGGCTATGCAAAATATATATATGTAAAATTTATATAGCAGAGGGAAGGGACTCAGCTGAAGAATTTTGCCCATACAATCAAGGGACTGGTTCTGATTTTAGAAAATAAGGCATGCTTGGTAATTTCCTCTCAGCTTAAAGAGGGTGCATAATGCTGCTTGCCATTATTTGCTACTTCATTGCCATTAGGCACTTTGAGGAAAAGTGTTTCTTCCTATGTATAAGTAGAGATACTGCTCCAAACACCAGTCTTGCTGCCATTGCCAGATAAGGCTGTTGAAGAACTAGACATTTTGATTCAATGCTAGACCTGTTTAGATGACCCTAGAATTCAGCTGTGAGGTCATTGCACGCTTGTAAACTCAGTGAAGTCACAGACTCTCAAGGAAGAGAATTTGTGGCACACATCCCTTTGGTTCTGGATTGTGTCAGGCTCAGTACAGTAATCCCAAAATAATTTGTCCGAGTGCTAAATTACTGCATTTCTCCATTGCAGCAGAGGTTTGCTTTGTCAGGGGAGAGCCTTCCCTCACTTTCAAGTTGTGCGTAGAAGGACAGGCTGTGCAAGGAATGAGATACTCAAGATACTGCCATACCCAGCAGGAGTAACTCCAAATAGGCTGATCTTCAGTGAGGGCTTTTTCTCAGAGCTTTTTTCTTTTTTCTTGTCTTCTTTTTTTCTTTTTTTTTTTTTCCTTTTTTTATTCTGTCCCCATTTCCCAGTTGGGCTCTTCCTTAAATCTTCTGTGATGACACAGAAGTTGCAGTCAGTTAAGATCCTTTTCCGTGGCTAATGTTAGCTGCTGGCAGCCACATGATGAGCATTTGGTCATCTGCCTCTGAGCTGCATGGCTTTCTGGGCTGATTTCACATTAGTTAGCATCTGTGACATGGAAGTGATGAGCAGAGTACTCTTTTGAGAGGGCACGAGCTCCTTGGCTGCACGTGTTTCTGCCCACTCCACGTGGCAGTCACAGCCATGCCCTCACACACACGTCTGTGTGCAAACCCTGTGCAAGTCAGGGAAGTTGCATGCCTTGAGTTGAAAGCAGGCCATCAATTCTGCAAGCAGCACTAGGGAAAATGGGACATTTAACCCTCTGAGGGGACTGGGAGTGGGGGCATCTGCTTATGTCTCTGAGTCGGCTTGGAGGGCAAGAGATGTCTTACTTAATGAGAGCTGTGAGCACCCTCATTTAAATCACTGCTGTTGGGGTAAAAGCATGACTGGCACTTTGTGGCTGCACCAAGATCACTGCTTGAGGAGCATACATGGTGCTGATCAAAGAAAGCAATTTTTTCAGAGACTACTGTGAAAGCTCCCTAGCTCACCATCACTAAAAATGACCCACAGTAGTCTGTACTTGCTGGGG